TGTGTGTGTGTGTGAATGTAATAGTATTTGTGTATGTGTGTGTGTGTGTTTGTGTGTGTATGTATGTTTGTCTTCTCAGTTTGCACGGACGCATGAAATCTTTCCCCTGTGGTGTGATCCTGCCTGCTGCGACTTGTACATGTACCTTGATGGTGGGTGGCCTAATACTTTTTGTTCCTTCTGCATAATGTGCCTCTTTCATTCAGCGTATGACTACCCTGCTCTTCCCCTTGCCGAAGTTAATGTGACCGTTATGGCACCGAGTTCCTCTCAGCTGCAACCCACACACCACATATTATTATCAGAAGCGGATTGCTGTTTCTGTGGTGGCTATTGTTTGGCTTTAAAAGGCACATTCGACGTAGTATCTATTCGGAGGCGTGTCCGACTGAGATAGACCTATCAATATGCTTTGTGCTTCTGGACCAGGTAAAAAAAAAATCGGGGGGGGGGTTACAGGGGGGCATGCCCCTCTGTTTTAATCCATAATTTGATATGTTGCAGTTAGGTTTGAAATTTTCTTGAAATTAATTGATTTGCGACAGTTTTAGTGTCCATATGAGTGATCTGCAGCAAACAATGCGCAGTTTGACCCCCAAAGAAGTGTATTTGTGTGCGGGAGTACGTCTCCGAATAGTTCCTGGGTGCTCACCGGAGACGTCTCCAAATATCTTCTGCCTAAAGAACATTTAACGCGTAACAGTTTTCAAAACTGAGAGCTCATGTCTTATCTGCCAGCCCCAACAACAACAGCAAGACACTTACTTGGCTGCCACTCGTCGGAACACCTTCGTCTGTTCATGATACATGCCGGACGAATAAGTAACCACCTGGTAAAGAAGTAAAACAACACAACATTGTTAGTAACTTTGGTTTTCCTTAATATATCAATGTAGATTTTTATATCCCCCCCCCCCCAACCCAAACACACACATACTTTGAGATAAACTGGATAGTTTATGAGGCTTGCTTCAACCCTGTCTGTCAGGGCCAACCCAAACTGAGATGGATACAACATCTCAGCAGAAAGACTCAATGAAAAATTCACCCCACTTGGGAATCAAACTAGGATCTCCTGTATATGATGGCGAAGCGCCCAACCCCTACACAACAGACACCAGTGTGTTAATAGCAAGCAATCAGTGATCTCATTGACATCCATAAAGGAAACACAGTCCATTCAGGTGATATCATGCTGGCATAATGCTGGCTTATTATGTCAGCTCAAGTGGTATCATGTCAGATCAGATGGAATTGCACTGGCTTGTCCTGTCAGTTCAGGAGGTAACACGCTGGCTTATGAAGAGGAAGAACTGGGTCCGAACCTCCAATGGGCATTCTTGAACTTGGGTTAAGAAATGCATCTTCCAAACATAACAACTGTTCTCACATCTTTTTTAAAATGACCGTTACATCATGGATAGCGGTGCGCAGCCTACTGCCCTTTTCATCTCGTTTCCTGAAGGTATCATCTCTGACTCAGAGGGTTGATGACCTTCACGGTCGCGAGCTGCCGTTACACATTCTGCTGTACCCAGGTCGGTCCATGTTTATAAGTGGTCCATCCATGTTATTCTTTGCCTTCTTCCCCTGGCTCTCCTGCCCCTCATCCTTTCTTCGAGCAGCTCTTTCACAATGGTCCCGAGTTGTATTAAGTGCCAAAAGTATTGCATTTTTCTACATTTTATTTCATCAAACAGGATTTGTCTTATGTGGAGAATCTGACACCAGGTTCCACAAAAAATGTTTTACAATTTAGCATTGCCGACTTCATCACGTCTAACAAAATAACCAGACAAGCTACAAAGTCTGTTCTTTTTTGAGTCTCAAGGGCAGAAATGCATGCTTTGAGTACATTAAATGATAATTACTATAAATACAAGGATACACCTAAAACTGTATGTTGAAAAGTACCAAAAATTAAGTTAGCCCAGACAGAGCAGTGACAGGGAGCTGACCCCTGTGACACCGACGGGATAAGGCACTCGGCGGGAAACCCCCCGCTGTAACTAAAATTCCACGGCCGGTGCTCCAAGATTTAATAATAACTTCGTGACCTACCTCAACATACTTCCAGCCAAGCCTCTGCAGCAGACTAGCAATGGCAGTGAAGTAGACTTCTTCGCTCGGAATGGCGCGGGAGAAGTACGACTGCTCCGAGCTTGACAACATGGAGGTCGTAGCGCCCGTCTGTACCTCCGGGATCATGTAATGGGAGAGAATCGACGAGATGCTCTTGGCCTGGCCATTGCCTGGGGAGGTTTTTGTAAGTGTTACGGCACTTGCAACACAATAAGGTCATATAAGTGCCGAAGACTAGAGGTGTTACAAGAGAGTAACAAACACAAATAAAGAAGGAGGGGAGATAAGG